CAAGAACAGGCAAAGGGTCGGGGCAGGCGGCGAAACAATCAGAATACAGAGAGTAAGGCAGGCAGCAGACAACGAGAGGTAAGGTCCAGATAAAGTCGTAACAGGTAAACAAACACAGGGTACAAACGCTCAGAATAGTTCACTGGGAAAGCAATACTTTGCACCGAGTGAATGTGAAAACCAGGTATTTATGGTGTGAGAGAAACAAGGTGATAAGACACAGGTGAATGAAATGAGTGCTGATGAATCCGGGCAGTGAGTTATGGGAAATGTAGTTTGTGAGGAAGTGATCATAGTCTATTGTGGTGCGCCCTCTGGTTGCTCTCGAGGGCACTCCAGCTGATCGTTACAGTAATGTTCCCACAACGTTCCCAGACAGTCACGATGTGGAGTTCTTTAAAGGGTTTGGGTCATATTTAATTCAGAAATCCAATGTTTCCAAAACATTCTGAGAACGTCCTGCAGAACTTTTAGGGACCAAATTAGAATATAATTTTTTTGTCCTATTAAGGTCTTCTGTTATATTTAAAGAATAAGAAGCTGATGCTTCTCCGCTTCAACCTGATCTGCAGGCTCTGTGTGTGTGACAGGAGGTTTTTTTTAAAATACTGTGTACATTTTGCTGCCATTGTTGCTGAGCTTAAAACGTCTGCATTGTTGATTTTACAATAACAATTGTAAAAGACTGTTTTACATCAATGAGCCAAATAGCGGGATCACCACAACTTTTTTCCCATGGAAAAGTGGTGTAGCCTTTACCAAATAATAGGAAAAAATGACAATAAAAGAAAAGAGACAAAAATAATACAAACATATTCTAAAGACCCTCGCATTGAACTTTATGCCGCTTAGATTTCGTGAGGAGACCCTGCAGGCTATGTAAACAAGAGTTAAAATAAGCAAATTGGAATAGGCCTAGCGCTTACTTTAGCTTGTTTATCTAAAAAAAAAAAAGCCAATATAGCCTGACCATCTACGCGAGAATGGTTCATTAAAACAACTTTACATGATAATCACATTGGCTTTTTCTGGCTCGCTGTCGGTGAAGAAAACAGGAAAAAGACCGCCGCCAGGTGTCCGTCCGAGAAGGGTCCAGCCCGCAGACAAACCAGAGAAACGTGGCAGAAGTTGACGGAAGTTGAACCTCGGTTCGTCCCACGTCACCGCGCACAAAACGTGATGTATATGAGAATGTTCTCATTAAATTAGTCACAAAACGTTCTCATATGGTCAACAGAGAACCATATGGGAACGTCCTTATTATGTCCTCTTTGTAATGTTGCTATGTGACCATAAAATAACCAATATGGAACGTTCCCCTAAAGTAATTTAAGGAACGTTATAATAGGACCAACTTAGACCCATATGAGAATGTTTTGATTACGTCCTCTTTGTAACGTTGTTATCTGTGACCATAAGATTACCATTACGGAACGTCCCCCTAAAGTCCTATAAGGAACGTTATAATAGGACCAATTTAGACCCATATGAGAACATTTTGATTACGTCCTCTTTGTAACGTTGTGATGTGACCATAAGATTACCATTACGGAACGTCCCCCTAAAGTCCTATAAGGAACGTTGAACTGCAGCACTTTCATTACCAAAAGAGGACGTTTCAGGAACATCCCTAATGTTCTGTAAAGGTTCGGAATGTTCGTCACCTTTAGAGAACTTTTAGGAAACGTTACCCATGGTCGCGGGAACGTCACCTTCTACCTGGGTTAGTAGTGTTTGAAAAGCTACTTTGAAGAATTGTATTTTTGTAGCTACGGAAAGAGCTGTTAAAAGCAGAAACTTCAACGATTAAGGATTGTGCAGTGCTGGGGGAACTATAGGATCAGGGTTGGGAACCACTATTATTGCACAGAAACATCATTAGGGAAAACACTGGTGAGTAAACGTGGGGGAACAGGATTGTCACTGTAGTCAGAGTGAAACAGTCTAAAATTATTGAATATAATGAAATACTGACTAAATCTAAAGGACACATTTTAAAAAGAATGTAACAATGAACACTAATATCAGATCATGAGATTAGACATGTGTGTACACCTGTGATTTCTGTGCTGAGATTTAGTGTTTATAGAACAGTAAGAATTTTAGGACTAAAATTAGCTTGTAAAATGAGGACAAAGACATGTGTTACTATCAGAGAGACAATCTTACCACAGATTCTCCAGTTTACAGTGAGGATCCTCCAGTACAGCAGAGAGCAGAGGAACTGAATCTCCTAGTTTATTCCCAGACAGATCCAGTAGTCTCAGGTGTGAGGGGTTTGATCTCAGAGCTGAAGTCAGAGTAGCAAAACCTTCATCTGTGACTCCACAATCCCTCAACCTGTAGAGAACAATGACACACTCTTCACTCTCAGTTCAGATCAACACGTACAAGCCTCAATTCTACACAGACTATTAAATGTCTAAATTTTCGTTGGAGATTTATCAGTCATAAACAAATAATAAAGAAATTCAAAAAGCTTTCAACACCTGTGCTCCAAAAATCCCAGTTTATATTGGCAGTTTAATAATAGGAGAAACACAGATGAAAGATAATCTTCTTTTGTTGTTTGTTAATTATTGATCCACTGATGTTGTGAAGGCTCAAACAAACAAAAACTTTTTCAATGATTTCAGACAGCAAGAGAGAAACGTAATGGCATCAAATTAAAAAAGAACATCACACACCTGACGGAAACATTTCTGGACCTTTATAAGGAAACAGCCAAGCAACCAAAATGACAGAAAAGTTATAATAGATCAATTTAATATACTGTTTGTTACATGATTCCCAATTATTTCCATTATTTCACTATTTCCAGTATTTGAACTTTACATTTTCATTTAAATGTTGTAATTAGCAATACATTTAATGTTACCTGTAAAGCAGATTTGTTAAATAACAGCATTGATTAAAGTTTCTTACGGGGCAAGAACATTTTTCTAATGGCAGAGCATTTAACTGCATGCACAAGTAAACCGCATCTCCTGTAATGTCCGGCTCAGACTAACTGTAGGCCTACATCATGTAAGACTCCAATACAGTTATTAGGTAATTATTCCCTCACAAATAAATCTCTCAGTGAGTAAACTGTTTCTTGATAAACTACACAACATTGTAATAGTATTTTCAATGAGTTTTTAAATTATTATTATTATTATGATTATTATTATTTTAAGTCATTATTGTACCTGGTTCATTAGGCTACTCTTGTAAGAAAGTAGCAGTGGCTGGAACAGACTTTAAGTATCGCCTGCGCTTGAAAAGATGCAATCTAATCCCGTTTTCATGAAATAAGATGCTCCCAAACAGGGTTGAGCTTACGGACCTGTTGCTATGACAGCAACTCCAGGATGAGCTTTGAAGAACCTAACAATCCTGGATCATGTAAAATCGTCAACAGTAAAATCCAGATAACAGTAATCCACGTATGAAGAACGGGCCCCGGTTCTCCAGTGCATTGTTATATTGAGTTTATGTTTTTAAAATGATTTTTGTTGTTTTCACAGTAATCTTCCTGTACTCTCAACAGTTCTCTACTGTATAAGCCGTGTGTAGTGATGATGTGCCTCCAGCAGTGCTCGAAGTGGGCCGGTACGCACCAGCACTTCTATATTTTAAGCTGTGGTGTACCCTCACTTTTTCTTGTGTACCGGCACTTCTCAGTGGCGTCACTAGGCCCCTTTTCTACTCAGACACATGATTTACAAAACCTGCTTCTGTGATTCAAAATGATACATAATATTGAACAATTTATTCAGTCATGGTGATGGCTAGAAGTGTGCACTTTTTTTTATTACCGGAAAGAGTTAAACAGTGGGGGAGGAGTGAAATTATATATAAAGTATCTTTATTTGTACGTTTTCTGAGAGGAGTACCTTTCATTTGTCCATGAAAAATGCAGTTTCTCTGCTCGCTTCTCGACGACTGTTCTTTCACTCAGCACAAGTTTGGTATTGTTTTAAAGCGTAGCAATCCAACTTTGTGAATATTCATAGCGAATTCTCGATGGCATGAGTCTGAACCAATGAAATGTGATTTTCAGACTCATACCGATTTAAACTAAATTATTTTACTCACATTGACTGACACATTCGAAACGTGCCTCAAAGACGCCTCAGACCGCACGTGACCCCGATATACACTTATACCTACACAGAATTACAGTATTTCAAAATATCTGTCTTGGCGAGTATTCAATCAAACATTATCTGCTATGTCTTAAGTGAACATTTGGTTAACTGTTGGAGAAAAACATCTGATGTGTAACATTATATTAGATCAGCAGTACAGTAGGTCCGAATGTATAGGCTGTCTTTTTCGTTAATGTTAATCAAACAATTGTGGGATCATGGGGAAAAAAGTTTAATATATATATATATATATATATATATATATATATATATATTGATCCTATAGATATTTGGTTTTGACTTGGTGTTTGCCAAATTCGGTGTTATTACCAGAGATTTTAAGGTATGGTTGGTAGAGGATTTTGTTTTGGAACCTTCAGAAAACTTAAACTTGATTATTCTCAAAATTGACTGACTATAAAATTCAAACAGGTGTAGCTCAGTCATGAAAATTTGCTCATTGCGACTCATTTTGTCAGAATGGGTCACGTATGTAAGCAGATGCATATGTAAAATCAAAACTGATAATGTTTCTTAATGAAATGTCGACGCAGGACGAGGTATAGGACTGTGAAGCGCTGGGGGTGTTGTTGGACTTGATCTACTCATCGTCCTGAATCTGATCCAGACGTAGTCTAAATATCTAATATCTAAAAATTATGTATCTTAAATCAAGATACATATTACATATTAAAGACCCTGAACAAGCTGATCCATGTCCTCAGAGTTACAGGAAGGGGAGTTTATCAGGGTCTGAGCTAAACTCCGTAGGGCAGCGGCCCTCCAGTGCCAGATTTGTGGAACCCTGATTTAGTCTTACAGAAGACAATAACATGTCTGACTATGATATACCGTAGATGATCTTACCAGAGTTTCTCCAGTTTACAGTCAGGATCCTCCAGTACAACAGAGAGAAGCTTCACACCCGGATCTCGTAGGTTTCTATTATCTAGATTCAGTTCTCTCAGTTGTGAGGGGTTTGATCTCAGAGCTGAAGTCAGAGCAGCACAATCTTTCTCTGTGATTTCACAATCACTCAAACTGTAGAGAGATGAAAATCAGACTTGGTAAACACTTATGAACTGAAAACAAAAAGCAATAGAAAATAGAGAAAAAATAGACAATTTGTATATGGAGTAAAGCAAACACTGTACTGTCATCACTAATGGATGGCATTGTCTCAAAATTACTCAGGAACCTTGAGATCCGACTGTAGCTGCTCGTATCTCAGCCTGCCTGACAGACATTTCTGGCTGGATGAAGGACCACCACCTTCAACTAAACCTTGCGAAGACAAAGCTGCTTGTGGTCCCGGCCAACCCAACACTTCGTCACAACTTCTCCATTCAGCTAGGCTCGTCATCCATAACTCCATCAAGGTCAGCTAGGAACCTTGGGGTTGTAATTGATGATCAGTTGAAATTCACAGACCACATTGCTAGAACTGCCCGGTCCTGCAGATTTGCCTTGCACAACATTAGGAGGATCAGGCCCTTCCTTACAGAACATGCCACACAACTCCTTGTCCAAGCACTTGTTTTATCCAGACTGGACTATTGTAATGCTCTCCTGGCTGGTCTTCCAGCTTGCTCTGTCAAACCTCTACTGTGGCTGCAGCATTCTGGATCAGTTGCAGTCTTTAATGAGCCAAAGAGAGCACACGTCACTCCTCTCCTCACACAATTGCACTGGTTGCCAGTTGCCGCTCGCATTAAATTCAAGGCACTGACGTTTGCCTATACAGAACAACCACTGGCACTGCTCCCTCTTACCTAAACTCATTACTTCAGACTTATGTGCCATCCAGAAACTTGCGCTCTGCTAGCGAATGTCGTCTTGTGGTACCATCTCAAAGAGGCACAAAATCTCTTTCCCGGACCTTTACCATGACTGTTCCCTGCTGGTGGAATGATCTGCCTAACTCAACCAGAGCTTCTGAGTCAGTAGCCACTTTCAAGAAACTGCTGAAGACGTATATTTTCCGGCAGCACTTGATTCAGTAGTACTAACACTTTCTCTTCTCTTCTATTTAAAAAAAAAAAAAACCTGCACTAAAATTAAACTGAGAGGGGTTATAGCACTTGCGTATTGTTGTCCTACTGTTAATTTAACTGCTTCTGTTGTTCTCATTTGTAAGTCGCTTTGGATAAAAGCGTCTGCTAAATGAATAAATGTAAATGTAACTTTAAACTTGTTTGTTTTAAATTAAGTACATTCGTTAAGTAAGTACTCATTGAAATTAAGTACCTACTCATTGAGTATGCGGCGGGTTGTCACCAACGTCATGTTCTGGGCGGTAACCCGGATGCGCGGCCATTATGGAGGCACTCGGATGTAAACAACGGCATGGATTGCACTGTTTATGTACTACTGAACACATTGTTACTCTAATAAACCATGGTAAAAACACGTAGTAGGTGCGAAATCATATAGAGAAGGACTTAGTAAGCAGGAGAGAGCGAAACATTTTGACAAACTAAAGTTAATATGTGGTAAAGGTCCGAACGAGCTAGCTTCTCTAGCCCGTACTGCAGTTCTTCCTTCTATTTCTTATCCCGACACAGGCTACGTTCAGATTGTCAGTCCAAAAAAGCACATGAAATCCGTTTCAAGCTACATTCATATGTGGTTTGAAATCCTATTCAAATCACATATCAGGGCATCGGCTTCAGTCTGAACGATCGGATTTCGCGTGGTATGTGACTCTCACGTTAAATGTAAACGTCAGACGTTGTTAGAGGAAACACGCTGAAAGTCGCTGTCGAAACAATTCTGTGTTGTTGCAAAGTGCCGGACGAGCAGAACATTATTATTTCTGAAACATATTTTGAAACTAGCGCGGAAAAAAAGCTGTAGTGCATAATATCCTCATACAGTTCTGCAGCTCAAGACGCAGTAGTCCAGCGCGGCGGCTACACATTCCCATGTTGTAAAATTTAAATAAGACGACATCTCGATTGCAAATGCAAACCCCTCCATCAACACAATGTCAGTGCCATATTGCCTAAGAGCTGCATGGATACACACATCGGATCTGAACAGTTGCGATACACAGTGTGGACATCATTTTAGATCAGATTCCAATCGGATACAAAGATAATCGGATTTGGACTGACAGTGTGAATGTAGCCATAGTTAAATACGTCAACATTTTAGCCATAGTCAACCCTTCATTAACACATGTCATGTGGTTGATGAGCTGATGCTGTGGCTCACCACAAACGCCTTCTTTCATCAGTTTTTTACACTCTTCTCTTTAACTTTTGGCAGTAGATAGAACTCGAAATGTTTTTTCCCGATGCGACCGATTAGTACAGACCAAAACTCGACCATTTTTCAGCAGCAATATTCAGCCAAATTTGCGAGTCTGTTCAGTTCAATGGCATTGTTTACGTTCAGTGCCTCCAAAATGGCCGACTTCTGGTTTGATGACGCGTCGTGAAACCCTCTATACACTATAACATAAATAATGATTTAAAAACCTGAAAGAAGCAGTTTTTTGTTGTTGTTTTTGGGGGGTTTTTTTGGATAAAAGACATCGTTATGTTTCGCTTCTCTGTCTGCGCTTCAGAGAGCATCTAAAGCCGCTAAACTTATGGAAAGTTCAGTCAGGGAAACCGTTTCTCAAAGATGCGCAACGATTTATAGATTTATTTGGAACTATTTTCATTGGCGATATAGATCAAAATGTAAGTCATGTAATATTAACAACTTGTTTATTTTAAACAACGTCCTACTGATGTTCGGGACAGCACTCTTCCTCATCTGATAATGTTGCTTAACTTAGGCTATTGTTAGAAATAGAAGGGGAAAAAAACCAGGATAGCCTAGAGGAACTTTTTTGTGAATTGTATTCTGTTTCAGAAATGGGCTTTTATTGTAATATCTGTTGATTCATTTTGTTTCAGTGGTCTGTTATGCTTCATAATAAAATATGGCTACCCATCCGCAGCTTTACTTGGTCTTGTTTATGCACCAGCTGCAAATGCTAACAAATAAACAGCGTTAGTTTTTGTATCAACAATCATGAATTAAAAATGCTAAGTCAGTCTTTGTTTGTATTGCATGTTCACTTTTAATACAACGAAACAGCCTAGGTCTCCCATCCCTCACAAACTCGCGGTCGAGTACGTCATAATGATCGCCGCATTCCTCAGAACGCTCGGTGACGTTATAATGAGTGCAGCGGATTTTTTCTTCTTGTAGCGAGTCGGCGATTGAGTGAGTAGCCTATGCTTTTTACACTGGGTTTGGGGATCTGAATTTGAATCTTTATATAATTTGCAGAAGAATCTGCTTAAACTGTGGAATGTTATTGTATAGATTAGCTGTTGCTACATTTAGATAAATAAATAGGCATGGCTACACTGGTTTGTGTGGAAATGAGAGCATGATATGTGAATCAATAATGATCAAATCTTTTTATTTATATAATTGTAGATCATTTATATTCAAATGACAAAATGATAGCAGATCTGATGACACACTGAAGTGATTCTGAAAGCTTATTTGCCTTATGCTGATTTGTTTAAATCAATAAAATTTGCCTCGACAACCGGCAAAATAAAACATGACTATATACATTTACGTTATGTGCATCTGAGTTATTCACATTAGTAGGTAAATTGATAAAAATAACAATTAACTTTTTTAGCTTCATTGTTAATTTTAAATACATTTCAAGGAGGCTCTCAGCCTCACTTGACTCTTCTGATGGATCGCCACTGGGCATACACTGTATACATTTTTATTTGTATTTTTTAGAAAATTAAAGGCCTACTTGATTTTCCGCGTTCCGCTCCATCTTGTGCACAGTCGTGTCCGCACAGCTATTAGTTGGTGGACCAGTGTGACACTGCACAATTTCCTATTTATACTTTAGCAGATGTCAAAGAGCAGTACTGAGTCGTGTCAACATTCTTCTATCTTAACAATCACCTACCGTATGCGTTGTTGAGCACACACCGTTAGCGCGAACACAAAAATTGGCCTACACATGGATGTCTGTTGAACTTCAGATGACAAAATGCGGAATGTGGGTTTACGTTGGGCTTAAGACAACAAGCTTTCAGGTTCTTGTACTGTATGTTTACTCAAATCATCTCTTCCCTTTCTCTTTCTTTCATAGTGTTTCACAGATATACATTGCAAATAGTATTTTTCAGTTCCAGTTCATTTTCTACATATCTAACATCGATATGAGTTTGTCAACCATGCCCACCATTTTTGAGAGTGCAGAGCAGTCATCATCTACTGAGTACTCAGATGAGCTTACTACGGCCCTTGCTGCGGGACGGTGGTGGGCGATAATGGAGGTTTCGGACCCCATACCTGAGGATTATAAGTACGGGGACATCTCAGGCCAGTGGGGGGAAACAATGGAGGCGGGGAAACATCATGTCCCTCATCCCTGGTCTTCAGTAATGCATCTGAGAAGCCTCATTTCCAGCACTCGGGCTTCTCAGATGCAACACGGAAGACCACACCGCAGTGGAGGCAGAAGATGACGCAGGGAGCACCCTTCTCTTCCAGATCCACACAGGGAGCACCTGTGCCCGCCAGATCCACACCGAGAGCACCTGTGCCTGCCAGAGCCACACGGGAAGCACCTGTGCCCGCCAGATCCACACAGAGAGCACCTGTGCCTGCCAGATCAACCCGGGAAGCACCTGTGCCCGCCAGATCAACACGGGAAGCACCTGTGCCCGCCAGATCAACACGGGAAGCACCTGTGCCCGCCAGATCAACACGGGAAGCACCTGTGCCCGGCAGATCAACACGGGAAGCACCTGTGCCCGCCAGATCCACACAGGAAGCACCTGTGCCCACCAGATCAACACAGGGAGCACCTGTGCCCGCCAGATCCACACAGGAAGCACCTGTGCCTGCCAGATCAACACGGGAAGCACCTGTGCCCGCCAGATCCACACAGGAAGCACCTGTGCCCGCCAGATCAACACAGGGAGCACCTGTGCCCGCCAGATCAACACAGGGAGCACCTGTGCCTGCCAG